TATTCAGCGTTTTTAGCAGAATACACTTTTAACATTCACGATCAGTTGGAACAGAACATCGAGTGTGAGAACAGTGGAGATTTAATAAACGATGTTTTGGATCGACGTACGTAGGTGGGCATCAGTGATGAGTCAAGATGAAGATCAAGTACCTTGGTCGGGAACATCATGAAAGACACCGCGACACGCCCGGTCGGGTGGAGTATTATCGTGCTGGATTATGTAACGGCAGATCCAATTTTAGATCTCCTGTAGACTTCAACGAGACGGGTCCACACACCATTGTAATAAATGCCGAATGTTTTAATCTAACCCATCATAGACAAGGATATGCAAATCCCTTGTCCATTTGTCGAAGGTGGGGAATTTCATTCAGTCTCCCTAGAAACTCTACGTTTACGGTTGGACTAGTATGCATATTCAACACCCCCAACCGTCGCTCTAATTAACCTCGTTGCTAGTTTACTTTTGGCGCAAAACGGTTAATATCATCCCACTTAGACCAGTAAAATATAAAAGGCATGTCAGCGTTTCTGTTTTTCTTGGGAAGAGGATATCCTGAACGACGTCGGGGTGAACGCTCCACATGGAAAGCTAATTTGTCTACATTATCTCCAAGCAAATTTCCAGCAGACAGGGGTTGGGACGTCGATTATCAAGGGATGCGGACTTTCTGAATCAGATGCGCTCATTTTTGACGAAGTTTGCTTACGGATTCACTAAAACGTCCGACAAATTACTAGCTTTAGAATGTATACTGACAGGGCATGTCGATTACCTAAGTTTCCGGAAAATACAAGTCGTTTTGACTCCGGTTAACACAGCGCAGACCCACCACTCTCCATTCTCGAGCGTTTGTAAAAACCATTGTGTCCTTTTCGCAAGCCTCGTTGATTCTGCATCCGGAAATGCTCGTGGGCCTTATCCCCAAGTCAGTATTTAGGGGTGAAGACGTAACAAATGATGTATTGCGACATTCTACAGCACGTATGAGGCGACGAATTGTAAAGATGAGAATGCGCAATATCGGGCAGATTTCGAGTAATCGCCTGAACATCTCACTCATCGTACCAGTTGGATTAACCAGCAGTTACGCCGGCAGATGAAAACATATCTGCATATATGCACACACACGACAGTTCGACCGTCGATTTCGACGATGTCCACCGTGTGCCCCACATACTGCATTGTGGGAGCAGGGACGGTGACTTACGCAGGGTTTTATAGTGCTAGTAGACTTGCGTAGCATCTACCTACACTCTCTCCTCCTCCACCGCCTGGGCCCGGTGTCAAGACAGAGTCAAGAAGACCGGAGACGGGGGAGGCCGCAGGTGGATGGCTCGGACGGATCCTCATCTTGGCGTTCCACCACACCCCCTGGTCCACACAGCAAATAACCAGGATTTCAACCAACACAACAGAG